GGCTGAGCAGCAGCTCTGCAGAAAAGGACCTGGGGGGACAGTGGACAAAAAGCTGAACAGGAGCCAGCAGCGTGTCCTTGGTGCCAAGAAGGCAAATGGCATCCTGGGTTGCATTGGTAGGAGCTTTCCCAGCAGATCAAGGGCAGTGATCCTTTCCCTGTATTCTGCACTGGTGATGACACATCTGGAGTCCTGTGTCCAGTTGTGGGCCCCCACTACAGAAAGGATGTGGACACATTGGAGAGAGACAGTCCATTGGAAGTGGTTGTGGGGCTGGAGGACATGACTTGTATGGAGAGGCTGAGGGAACTGGGCTGCTTTAGTCTGCAGAAGAGAAGACCGAGGGGGGATTTGATAGCAGCCTTCACCTCCCTGCAGGGTGGCTGTAAAGAGGATGGAGCTGGACTGTTCTCTGTGGCGGCAGGTGACAAGACAAGGAGCAATGGACTTAAGCTGCAGCAAGGGAAATTGAGTTTAGATTTTAGGAAACTCTCACCAGGAGTGTGGTGAAGCACTGGAACAGGCTACCCAGAGAGGTGGTGGCATCTCCATCCTTGGAGGTGTTTAAAGACCCACCTAGACAAAACCTTGGCTGGGATGATGTGGTTGGAACTGGTCCTGCTTGGAGGAGGGGTTGGACTAGATGCGACCTCCTGGAGGTCCCTTCCAACAATTATTTTCCCATAATTCTATGAAAATGTAAGGGTCTGTCGCATCCGAAAACCCGGATGAATGGCCAGGCCGCTCCGGCATGCTCATGCTAAGCTAGCTGATCGTGCGCCACATGCATAGCACTTGGCAGCTTCCGAGTCAGCTAGCGCCGCTGGGGAGCCAGGGGGCAAAAAGCAGGTATTCGCAGGCATGTGCGGAAACAGGGAGAAGCACACATGCAACCATATAAGGAGTGAACGCGGTGTCAGGACGCGATTGGCCAGGGCACAGTATAAAACACCAACACGGGAAAAGCCGCATTGGAGAGAGAAAAAACACGGAACCGAGCAACAAGCGCAGCAACAGCAGTCGGCCTGATCACCCAAGCAGCCGCTCTCCCCTTCCTTCTCCTGCAGAAGACGTCCTTAAGGCCTTCGCATAAAATCCATCAGAAATGTCGATTGTGTGGTTTTGTCTGGTAACGTATTAAGTTTATAATTAGCCTAAACTTTGTAATTTTTGTATTAATTATCGTTAAGAGCATTATATCTGTCATATTAATATTAAATGTACCAATCCCAAAAAATGAGCTGCTGACCAGGCCTGGGACTAAGGCTCAACTCAGCCACCCCAAGACTACTACCAAGTAGTTTTGAAAGCAAGGGAGTTAACCTGAACCTCACGACCCAAGGGACACCCTGTGTGTTAAAGCAATTGCAATACTCTCTCTTTCTTTCCCTTTTCAAACTGTTCCTGTATGAACAAGTTTAGCATTTGTGCTTATGTCTAGTTATTGTCAAAAAGAAGAAGAAAAAAACCCTCAGAACTCATGACTGGTTCTTTCGCCCAGGCCGAGCATTATAAGAACCCAGGAGCCATTTTGTCAGCTCTTCCACAGGGTCCTCTCTCTCCTTTGGGTTCATCGCTACACAGTGACGCCTTGACTCAAGACAGCTTGCAAGAAGTGCAATACAAAACCCAAAGGATGTCAGAAGTCAAAGACAGGATAAAGAACATCATGAACATCAAGGCCACCATATACCTCAGTTCTCTCCTTAAGGACGAGTGGCCAGAACAAGCCACTCATCTCAAGAAAGATACTGCAGCCAAACTGAAGTACTTTTCAGAGAAGCGTAACAAGAACGGGAGGGGTATAGAAGAGTGACTAAAAGATGAATCATTTGCTGTTGAAAGACGACCCAGGAGGGGACGTGGATAAACACAGGGAACACCACACAAAAAGGCAGAGAGGGAGCTTCTGTTCTCACATCCCTGCAAGAAGAGGGGGAGAGTCAGAGAGTTGGAAAGATGACCAAATTCGAAACCAGTATTTTTTTTTTTTTTTTTGCCATAAAATGTACATCAGGCTGAAGGACTTGCTGCCACATTGTTCCTGATGCCAAAACAGAACAAGAGAAAGGAGATGCATTATTTATGTCAACAACAAGCACATTCAGATTTCTGGCAGCTAATGCTGAAAAGAACTGGAAGAAAAATGTGCTTTGAGTTTAAACTAGCCTTTAACTATTAAAGATTAATTAAAAATCCCAGAGGGTAAGTCATCTCCACATCTGCCTATTTAGGGTTTTAGGTGAACATAGCAAGTGTATTTGGTCCTGGCCACAGTGGGAGGATAAGAAGTGAGATAACCCCTGGATTGACCATCTGTTTCCATCTGAAATACAGTGTGTCCTGCGGCCTGGTTTGCAATGCATCTGCACATGGACCGGATCGTGTCACAGGAGTCCGCAGAAGATGGATGCTGATAGGGTTGAAACAGTGTGCAGTTTTGATGACACTTGGAAGAAGGGCTCCCCTCACAGGCTTCAAAGTCCCCAAAAAAGCACTCCACATCTCCGCCGTCTTTAAAATTTAATTCAGCTACTCGGCCTTTAGAAGAGCCTCAAAAGGACTATTAAGATGCCAATGAAATGCTCAGAAATCATAAAGCAAAGCCAGTGTTGCACAGGGTGCGGTTTTTTGGGGTTTTTTTTAAACAGATACACAGAGAAGCCAAGACTGGATATGGTGCTATGACTGTAGCTGAAGTCAGAACAGCTCCATCTACAATACTCACCGATTCAATCAAGAATCAGCATTCTGGAAGTGATCCATGAGCCCACTTTTCAGAAGCATCAGCCTAGAATTAGCATGTGCAGGGGCACAGATCCCTCTTCACTGACAATTCAGATGACCACAGAACTGGACCTTGACCCACATCAATTCAAGTCAACAAGAGGAGAAAGGAAGCAGCACATGTAGGCTGGAATTGGACCAAATTATGTTGGGAGAGATTCCAGACAAGTTTTCAGACACTAATTCCTGAGCCCTCATGGCTATAAGGTCAACTGAACCCTGCTGCAACTTTAGGTATTTCCACATACGTTCAGGTTTAGTTCTATACAGCACCTCAGGTGTTCTTGTTCCAGCTTGCATTACACACAGGGAGTTGAAGGGGAAGAAGGAAGGTCTGGGTCAAGCTCTGAACTCCGTTTTGGTTTCTTAAAGCTAAGCAGGCTTGCACTTTAGCCTCCATGTTGACTGTAACATTTATTTTGCATTGTGACCTCCCACTTGAAAGGGATTTTCAAACTTCATTTCAGAGGCTGAGCACATAC